GTTATTTAATTTTTTTGTAGATTTCCTAGGGACCCATTTCGCTGTGCAGAATGAGTATCTACTGTCGCGAAAGAAAGAGGAGAATAACTATATATATTATATACAACCCATCTAAAAATTCGAGAATATATTCGATTCATTTTCATAGTGGACATAATTCGAAACACGCAAAGGCGTAGATTACTAATACTAGCGGTTCCCAAATTGAAGGTAATTACCATAAAGTAATACAATTGTTAGTGTAAGATAATGCTTTTGGTAAAAACGTAAGTTGTTTGTGACTTTTTTAGATTCACGGACCAATGAAAGTGCAATCAGCTTTATGTTCAGAATGACGAGAGTTATCAAATCAGGTAATTAAAAAAATCTCTATCAGAAAAAACTATACCTGTAGGTATTTACGTGAAAAACTTTAAAATTGTTTTCAATAAACTTTCACTTTTGAAGATACTATAGAAATACATGACATACCTCGGGCTGATGCAGTTGCTTGAAGTCTCCTGATGCATCATTATCAGATTTAACATCGATATGTGACACTCCTAGAAAAGGGTATTTGAAAAAGAAATTGACGACCTTTCATTGAATACCTACTACTTTATAAATCGGTCAAAAATATTTGCCACTATACAAAACGACCCTTGCCCTAAAATATTTATATTCTGCAACTCTACGTCTTTCAATACGTACTGTGTTCCGAGCATTGAAATATAATACCAAGAACTACGTTTACTACCAAATTAGAGTAAGTACGAAAATGTCAAAATAATGTTTTAACCTTTATTACTTATGACTTTAAGTTTCATTTTAGAATAAATATTTTTGTACCTATGACTTTTTATTTTCAAGCGACATTCAAAACTTATTGCTTTTAATCTTTCTCTGATGAAAGGACTTAAATAAATATATTTTGCAATGGTGATTAAACTTTATGTTAGAGTGTTATTAAGGTTTATAATAAACTGAAGTTGTTTATATTATTAAACTTTTTTCTAAGATATATAGATGTTTATGTGTGTGTGCAAAGTGCAAACGTCTTGCCACTTGTGCGACTTATTTTTGTTCCTGATCCTTAATCTAGTATATAATTGATCGAAGACTATGAGTGCAAACTTAATTAGTGATTGCTTTTATAATACTACTGTGTGTTGCAACTAGTGACATGAGTAACAAGCTAATTATTTATCGTTAAGTACCCTAGTCCGCGAACTTTTCTGCCGCCCTTGTAATTAATTAGTTGGCAACATTTTCATTAAAGTATATTTATGTAAGATTGTATTATCTCTGTGCGAAATTCACAGGCGAGCTGCGCACATTGCGAATTTTATAAAATTAAAGTTGTCTTTTTTATGGAGTAACAAACGAACAGTCAGGAACACAGCAGTGCAGGCATTTCTGCATGCTATTTTGCGATAAGAGTTAAGTATTATAAAAACTGTAATATTTTTATAACAATATAGTAACAAATTAGTTATCCCACGTTGTGTAGGAACTGTATCACACGCGACACCTGCGAACCATTAGGTAATAGCGCTATATTGTCACCGAGGGCCAAGATAAAATGCCGCCGATAGATTTACCTACTAAATATAGTAAGGTATTGTTTGCAAGCGTGGTGGAATCTCCAGTCAAACAAACATATTCGTGCTGTAGCTATGTGTAATGGCATCGCGGCTCTATGACATGTTCATGTGCGGAGAAAGATGATTCCTCGATAATATCTTATTACTATATAATATTGAATTAGAGCTGTAGTATCACAGAGGATAAGCCCTCGCTTTAAAATATCATAATTCGGGAGTTAACAGAGTTCGATCCCGTAAGCACTATTGAATTATGTATTGCAATTTTATCCTTCATAATGGGTGGTGAATGGTGCCAGCAATTAAAAATTGTACCAGTAGAAGAAGCGTATGTGGGCTATTGTTGTATAATGTTGGAACTTATCAACTGAGCAGAAGCACTGTCCAGCCTTATCACAACACATTTAGACCAAAAAACCAATAAATTGCGTTATACACACAAAAACAGACAAATTTACAAATGTTAAACTTCGCTAATCTCCTGTATTTTAGGAAATAAAAAATAAAAACACAAAATTTTTATTTTATATTAATTTGATATAAATAACATTCTAACAGAATAAATTATTTTGGCTTTGGTAACATTCAGATTTAAATAATGTTGTTATAATTTATGTATATAATACAAACACTGATATGACTTACATCGAAACATCTACATAGTAGGTATAATAAATAATAGTACGGATATAAATATTTTCTCATAAGGTTTGGGAAGTCATACTATATTTACAATATAATTATTTCTAAATATATTATAAAACATTCCTATGACATAGTTAGATATTCATATACAGATACATTTTACATTTAATATTAACGTCTATAGATAATATTTATACAATACTTCCTATAAAATGCATTTTGAGATCAACAGAATTTGACTTTACATTTTAATTATGTAGTTCCACTATGTATGTATTACACACAATAAAATATTAAGTATATAAAAACTCTGTTCATTGAAAAACTGTTTAACTAAATTTAACTGAAACTTCAAAAAGCTTGCTCTTAATGTGATTATATTTTATATTGGTAACATTGAAGACTTCAATAATTGGTAAATAGAAAAAAGCACTAAAGAGAAAGTAATGTTTCCTTTCTCTTCCTATTAAAAGTAGTCATTTAATTATTGGTACTTGGGTATTTGCGTGACGATAGGGTACAGTTGGACCAAACTCCAAACCAAAGAAAATTGGTTTTATAGTCTTTTGTCCGAACAAAGATAACTGTTTTCTATAAAGTAAAAATGAATGTGCTGCTGCGTGAGTTTTAAATGACATATTTTTGACAGATGGCCCCTAAAAGTTATTATCTTTAACATATTAGATAGTGATTACATCATAAAGTAAAAATAGATGTACACATAATTGACACTATTTATACTTAGACTTCGAGCATTAGAAAACTTGCCTATATGTGTCTTTTATTACTTTTTATTAAAATTACACTAATTCAATAGCATAAATATATAACAACTTATTATGAATATTAACTTATTTTAAGTGACTAGGAAGTAAATTTCTCACATAAAACGGTACTGAATTTTAACATATATTTAACTTAAAAAAATGCTTAATATTATAAATGAGCTATGTTAACTCAGAGGCTGGGAGTTCTATTGCATGGAGTTTTGTTAGCCTACCAGAATTAGGTAGATACAGCCACAGAATAAATAACATTCACGTAGTATGGGGGATAAAAGCAGTTATCGGTTTTGATAAAAATCCAGAACATGCATACAATTAAGATGATATCTGCTGCAGCTACGGGGTCAGCGGGCGGTTTAAGGTTTTTTTTAACTTATATGAATATTATGTACATTTTTTGTTTGATCAATACTGTGAAATCGGTAAAATACAGCTTTGTAAATAACAAGCATTTATCGTATTCTATATAACCAACTACACGACAATAGGGTTATCTAGTTAGAGAGTGTTACTCACCTTAAGTAACTCATAAAAAATATTTTGGCGAAAATTTTATTTGTTACCATTTGTCGTTTTGTTGATTGATGTGTGTTTGTTGAAACAACTTATATCATTAAATATTTCTAAGCTAAAATCTATTGGTAAAACCTTTTAAACGACCTTCTGTTTTGATTGTCTTCTACAAAATTTTGTTGTAATACTAGCTGTCATAGTTGTTCTGGTCGAGTTATCTTATCTATTTGAATATTTTAAAATAAAAAAAAAAACAATTAAAATTACACTTAAATCAGAATAACGAACAAATTTTGAAACACCTAAGGTGTCTTAAAATTTTGTTCCGTATTCTCTAGAATACTAAACCCCAATTACTAAAAAGTTTTCTACATCTTAAAACCTGCAATTATTTATAATATGTTTTTACAATAACACTAATAATAATAAAATTAATAACTGCTTTAAATACGTTTTATTAAAATATAAATTTTTATTTAAGAAATTACTAAAATATCGATTGTATCGCTTTAATATAAATCAAACTCTATTGTATTGTATATCTTGTCATATTATCATAAATCATGTATTACATATTTTATTTACCATTCTTCCTACTTCATATTAAAAGTACTAATGTCGATCCTTACTATCATAATGTACCTAGTACGAAATAATAACCTTAACAAATCCTAAATAAATAATTGTGGCGTTTGCTTTTTTTTTTCAACTTTAAGTCCACTGGTGCACAAAAAATAGTCATAAAAAATAATATAAAAAACCTATCAATATCGTTGAAAAAAAATCCGACGTAGACGTAGGACTTGGTAGAACTAACGCCTGGGCGGACGGACGCATCATGGACTCAAAAATAAATCGTACCAATAATTAATTAATATAAAAATAATAAAAAAATACATATTCTACTAACATTAATTACGCTCCGACTAAATTATTGCGTTAATATTATTAACGGCTTAATAAACACCTTTATCTGTTATAATATAGCTTATTCTAAAAATAATATTTCAAATAAATATTTTTTTTTCGTAGTTCGTTGGGAATATAATATGGCGTTTATAAAATTAAATTCTTAATGTTAAGTTGTTCTTAACGTAGATTATAGAACAAAACATGTACAGTTTTCGTGACTAGACACACACTGATGACGCTGAGATTGTTAACATTATAATATAAAAAGAATTTTTAAATTCCTTTGTCTTAAATATGTGTATTCACAAAATTTTATTAAAAATTGTGCTTATATATTTATAAGGATTACTTATAAGCTGGGTCACATTGTCATATGCTTTGTATAACACGCTCCTATCACTTAGGAATAATAAATTAACTAAAAGAAAAAACGTTGAAAGTGTTGAACATTCAATGGAAAATCCATTGAATGTTCAACATTCAAAGAGTGATTTCGATTTACAAATAATTTTGAATAGACTGTTACGTCTATTTTTTTGAGTAGTTTATAAAATCATTAGGGTTACATTCTTGTCGTAACGGCGTCAGTATCTCCATTCTCTTGCTTATGCTCTTCATTCACCTGTTCTTTATTTTTCTTCTGTTCTCTACTGCGACTTCTAAAGAAGGAAGCGGTTGTCACGGAACGAAACCGGAATGAGCCCGGGGCTCCATTCGCTATCGAACTCGCGTTACCTTCATTTTCCTCTCGAATTCTTGGCGATCTGTCCCTTTGAGGTCTAGTTCGGTAGGAGAAGCTGGCAGCCTTCAATCGGGCCCCGATCCCTAGCTTCGGGGGAGGTTCGGGAAACTTTTCTGCCGAATTGTGAGGCGCGGTGGGTGTGTGTGGCGCGGATACGCTGCCCACAAATGGTGGTGCCATATCGGGCCGCCGTACTACCATGCTGCTTGCGTGGGGACGGATGCCCAGTTCTATTTCCTGGCCGTTGCTGTTAATAATTGAAATAAAAGTTAAGCATTGAATTATATAATCTATCCATATTTATTACAAATATTGTAATAATAACGTACGTCAACATGTTGTGACCGTCCCGAGATAACAGAGCCGACGTCCCGTAATGGACGAAAATATAACAAAACAAACATGCCTACTTACATACGTACAAAGACAGGTCGAAAAGTTCACACAATAGAGGAGTTAAAAGACGAGGGGGGGGGGATTTTTAACTGTCACTATTATACAAATACACATACCAAGTTTCATGTATATCGGTTCATTAACCTTTGAGATATCACAGGTTAAACAAGTCAGTAGGGAAGCGAATGGAGAAATTTGAGTTTTGTGCCGTGATTTAGTTCCTCACTAGGGTTAACGGAGAATCGAAACGGAAAACTAATATATCCTATTTGCCTTTCATTCCGCGAACTTTTTGAACTTCCCTCGTACCTACATTCATACTTATAATTTCATCATTCATCATCATTACAGCCAAGTAGAAATCTACTATTAAGCGAAAATTCCCATCGATTGCCACTAAGTATAGTTCTGAGCCACCACACACACGTAATCTGCGTGTTTCATCAGGTCCACTCTATGTATTGGGAAACGCTCAACCTAGTGAATTCCAGTACGAGCCTGTCACTCTAGAACCTTGTCCCCTGTTGTTGTCGGTTATGATCCATTGGGCTATGTCGGCTAGCCTTGTACTTCTGCGGATATTCTCGTTAGATTTCTCGAGTCATCACTGGCAACAAGCTCTGGTTTTACACATATATACATAATAATCTCCAGACCGAATTTTCTCTCGCTGTGACATAACTTCGGTCCTTTTATGTCACAGCAACTAGTCTCAACTGAGATAAGCCATCTGCGCAGGACAGGGTTATGAGATACGTTACGAGTGTGTACGTAAACAGAGCATTCTCCATTCCCTCACTCTCATAATCTGATGGGACGAGACCAACGGCTTTACGTGCTTTACACGAAGTCAAAACACCGCCAATTTCCTCACTCCGGGCCGCTACCCTAAGCTAACCAAAGGGCCGTCCCCTTTGAGCCCCTCCCCGGGGGACGGGACTACCCTCCCCCAGTTATGATGATTAGCAATCGTACTTACGAGGCAGTCAAATACATACAACTCGTGCCGATAAAGTATGGGAGTAGAAATGTCGCCTCGCAGAGCCTGTACTGCAAGCATGCACAGTACATAAAGCGAAAGCGGTGTTTATAACGTTACATCGTTAATTACAAATAATGATATTACATTACATGTAATTAAAACGTTATGTTAGTATATTGTTTTAACCGACCTTAAAAAGGAGGAGGTACCTCATAACTTTTTTCCAGGTGAACCGATTTTGATGATTCTTTTTTGTTTGAAAGCTGGTGCTTCTCATATAAATAAATTTGATCACCAGTTTATTTTCCTTATTGCACCCTTTTTTTTCTTTTCTTTTTTTAGGAAATTTTGTACTGAAAACAATTTATTTAAACGGATTTAAGAAAGGTGTCATGGTACGTACGTGTGCGTGTGGCGCGTGCGCGCGCGTCGCAGCTCCGCGGTGCGCGGCCGCGGTGCGCGCACGCTGCCGCCGCGAGAGCCCTCTGCACATTCAAGTTAATCAATTCATTATACAAATCTCGACGAAAATCTTTTTATTTTCTGGGTTTCTATTTTAATGTACAAATTCTAATGCTACACATCGAAAAGCACCAAAATATCCATTCTCAGTTTTTAAAGTTTGCTTTTGTCAGTTTTAAGTAGATTAGTAATTTTTTAAAATTTCTTCGAATCTTCGAACTTCGATCAAAAAGGTAAAGCACAATATTGAGAGTTTACTTGTCTATCACAAATATAATGACCATTCTTGTGAATTACCGAGTTAGAAAATAGCGTCAAAACAGTATTAACAAAATATTGATTCATTCTGTTTTATTTGCGGTGAATTAGTTAAAGTAAAATAAATTTCTTTGGCAACAAATTTAAAGTTTTGTGAAGCTTATGAAGCAAATTCCAAATATATAAAATATTTGGAATCAAAGTAAAAAAATGGATACATTAATTTGCCTGTGTTAACCGCAAAAATAACAGATTAAAGGCAACAAACTAAAAATTATAATCTAAAAAAGGCGAACATATTAATATTGACTTGAATACTCAATATCAGTTGAAACTAAACAATCATCAGAACTAACTCCAATTGATCTCAATTTTCATGTATTTTTTTAATGATTGTTCATTTATTTTCGTAATATTTTTTTTTCAACAGTTCCAAATAACAGTATTTTGAAACAAGATGGAATACACAATGTCAAGTACGAATTAGTTATAGAGCCTAAGAATATATTGAGGCCGCCTTTGCATATACAATTAGGCTTTAATTTGTTAAAGCTCTGGATCAAAGTTATGAAGCTTTCGATTATTTAATGGAATTCTTTCCAACATTATCTGAAGCTAAAGTAAAAGAGGGTAATTTGTCCGAACACATAAAAAAATTAACAGAGATGAATTATCACAATAACTCAATACTATAATAGTGAAAAACAAGCTTGGAACAATCTTAAAGATGTAGTTGATGGTTTTCTCGCAAAAAAATATAGAGCTGACTTGTTGTCAGCTGTCTAGAGCTGGTGGAAACTATGCTTGAAAGCTTTAAAATTATGAGTGTCTCTACTCAGATAAACAAGAAAAGCGTTTTCACGAAGTTGTGATGGACTTTAAACGAACAGTTCAACTCAAATTACATCTAGGGCTAAATACGAGAAAGTGTAAACATACAAGGAAATTACACAAAGTATTAATTTTTGATCTTGATTTTTATAGTTTTACATTTTTGTGCTATTATTAACCATTATTTTTGAATTAAAAATACTCCGATATTCAGCAAAAAATTTTCTGATTGTAATTTATAATAAAATTATGAAAAATTCAGTAATTTTACTTAAAATTCAGGAAATTGCTCCAGTTTCGACAAAAACAAACTTTTATCAAAAAATATTTTTTTATTATTAGTAACGTACAATAAAATAAATTTGATATTCAGAAGTCAGACGCAAAAACCGTGTCTACCAGTGTTATTGATATGTGCTGAATTATATATATCACAAGAATATAAGAAATATTTTACGTGGTAGAGCCATGCTGCAGCTATATTACTGTTCTAGTACGAATGGGTTGGCTCGTCCGGGAGAGGACCACGTTGTCACACAATACCAGCGTAAAATAGCAGCTAAAAGCTGTTGTGTTTTGTATGGTGAGTGTAGAGAACCGGAGATCGAATGTTTTTATATTATATATCTCTTACGAATTTTATATACTTCCATATATGTTATATACTTCTTTATATATATATATATATAAGAATATGTATATATATATATATATATATATAATGATATTTTTTGCAAAAAAAAATCATCAATTTTAAGCAAGAAATTTTGTAAAAAAATAATTTTGAGAAAAGTTTGAGAGCCACACACACACACACACACACACACACACACACACACACACACATATACACATATATATATATATGTGTGTGTGTGTGTGTGGCTCTCAAACTTTTCTCAAAATTATTTTTTTACAAAATTTCTTGCTTAAAATTGATGATTTTTTTTGCAAAAAAGTACAATAGATACTCATACTCTTTACTGCATTTTTAATAGAATAGTCTGTGAGGAATAAGAGAACACCAAAAACGCAACTAATTTCATTAATTTGCGGCAGAGGTGTACATGAAAATACAGTAAGGTCAATAAAAACATTTTTTTTAAATCTTCATATTTTTTCTACCACTTCGAATATATATTTTTTTTGTATTTTTATTTGAGCACCTGATATCTGTACAATTATGGGCTCCAGGATTATCCATTCTTTCTGGGACACATGATATATATAAAGGTACAATTGACGATCTTATCATCATCATTATTACGAAAGCGGCGATCAGCAGAGTATATAATCATCATCATCGTCATTAGAGCTCATCAACGTCACAGAACATCGACTTCATAAGGGCGATATTTGGCATAGTTGGCGAGCTTGGCCACCGCGGATTTATTTATTTTCTAATTACTATTACCTAGACGTTGCTGCCCATTTTTCGATTTGTTTTCGTCTGTTATGTACGCGCGTGCAGCATGGTGTAGACAAGCACGAGCACGGGCGCGAGCACGAGCATGACCAAGAGCATGAGCAAGAGCATGAGCACAGTCGATATACTCACGTAGCGCGGGCGCATCGAGCGAGTGCGTGTAGATGCACTTGCGCACTTACAGCATGGTGTAGAGAGCACGAGCCGATATACTCACGCAGCGCGGGCGCAACGAGCGGATGGGTGCGTGTAGATGCGCATACGCGCCGGCAGCATGGTGTAGACGAGCACGAGCACGAGCACGAGCATGTGCATGAGCACGAGCTGATATACTCACGCAGTGCGGGCGCATCGAGCGAGTGCGTGTAGATGCGCTTGCGCGCCTGCAGCATTATGTAGACGAGCACGAGCCGATATACTCACGCAGCGCGGGCGCAACTAGCGGGTGCGTGCGTGTAAATGCACTTGCGCGCCGGCAGCATGGTGTAGACGACGAGCATGAGCACGAGCACGAGCATGAGCACGAGCTGATATACTCATGCAGTGCGGGCGCATCGAGCGAGTACGTGTATATGCGCTTGCACGCCCGCAGCATTATGTAGACGAGCACGAGCCGATATACCAACGCAGCGCGGGCGCGACGAGCGGGTGCGTGTAGATGCGTTTGCGCGCCTGCAGCATGGTGTAGGGGAACAAGAGCACGAGCACGGGTAAGAGCACGAGCACGAGCCGGTGTACTCACGCAGTGCGGGAGCGTCGAGCGGGTGCGTGTAGATGCGCTTGCGCGCCGGCAGCATGGTGTAGACGAGCGCGGCGAGTGAGCGCGGCGGTGCTGGTGCGGGCAGCGGGCCAGCGCCGCGCGCACGCCGCCGCCGCACCCACCAGGTCTCCATGCGTCCTTTGCCCTTCACCTCCACCAGGCCCCGCGCCTCCAGACCGTAGCCTCGGCGTTCGAGGATCTGTTTCAATTATACATCATTCCTACAATAAACTTCATCCATCCGTCCATTACAGCCTGTAAAGTAAATTCCACAACTGAACATAAGCGAAGAAGAAGAAAGTGTCTCAATGGGGGATTTGGCCATAGTTGCTTTGCTTGGCAAGAGGCCTGGCAACCGCATTTTTAAAAAAAATTATATGTTATCACGAAGCATTGAGCTATACAAAACTAGAGAAGCAAACCACATTATCGCGCGTCGAAAAAAGTGTCACCACTATCCGATTGCGACGACGTAGCTCTGAAATGACTAAATATTTTAAATAAACACATATCTGTCTCACTTACACAAGTTGCGAAAACAATACCGTCGCTAAGATTGGTAAAGATAGATACACACACACATGCAATGGCGGGTTGGTGTGGCTTACTATATGAAATTTTACTCAAAATACGCAATAAAAAGGAGTTTTTTATAGCTGCCAGTTAATTGTTTTTATTTAAAAAAATTATATTTTCTTATCAGATGAATAAAAGAAAGTATAACTGATGAAATAAAACAAATTTTTATAAGTATTTTTATTGTACTAATAAATCAAACCATATAAAATAGGTGGTAATCAAACCATATAACGTAGGTAATAAAATATAGGTAAATATAAGGTTATAAGGATAATAAAATATAGGTCAAAAGTTTCTCGTACCTGTTTTGTGTACTTGGTGACCTGTATGCGGTCCATAGCACCGGTGCTCTCCATCCGCGAAGCTTCGTTCACAGTGTTACCCCAAATATCATACACTGGTTTGCGAGCACCTATCACTCCGCCTACAAGTGGCCCACAGCTTATACCTAGAAACATATTTATTTTAAATTTCTATCGTTATGATTAATGTTGCCAACCCCAGCATAGAGCAAAACTGTAGATATGCTTGAAAAAAAAACTGTAGAAATCTGTAAATATCAAATTAAAAAACGGTAAATCTATGTCTTTATATTATATTTTGTATAATTTAATGATGGTAATAAATTGAATATACTATAGGTATGACATTTAAAACAATCAAAATCATGTAATTATCAAAGTTTTAATCAAATTAAAAGTCAAAATCAAAAGTCTCAATGTTACAATTTTTCCAGTGCTAACATGTTAGATACATATAGTATCACTAGCTACTATCTAATTTTCAACTTGTAAGTTTTCTTGATTTTCCATTTCATCTTTACTTTTGTTGAAATCGTATATGTTTTTATTGAATTTTTTGAAACGGTTATTTGTCACATTGAACTCGAAACACTTTTTAATTTCTTTGTGTGCACGGTACCTGCCTTTTAAGTGGTCGTAGAAAGTTTATTTCTTGGTTTCGTTTTCATAACATTAATAATCGAAAACAAGCGTTCTACCGTAGCGGTACTGTGTAGCAAACACAGAACCTTTCTGGTTAGTCGATAATAGTGGATTCGATAGTAGTAGATTCTACCGAAACTGACTTAGTGTACGGCGTACAAACTAATAAAATAGATGAGGCTAGTATCTTACATAAAAACTGTAGATTTCGAGGTCTAAACTAAAAACTGACAGAATTTCCAAAAAATTGTAGATTTACAGTTAAAACTGTAGGGTTGGCAGCACTGGTTATGATGCTTTCGAAGTAGAAGGAAACGGTTGTATGGAGTGTGAGGCATTTCATATTAGAGTTGACAACACATCTGTAAACGTTTTTATTTTGTAGCAAGTGTCCATGGACTGCAGTAGCCACTTAACATCAGATACCAAGACTTAAGCTCGTTTGTGCTACCCCCTTCCCCCTCAAGGAATGCCATAAAACAAGGTCCTGAGTCACCTGTGTCCATCGACTTCCTGCTTGTCTTGCCAGGTCATTACTCCATTCTAGTAGGAGTCGCTCAATATTATATTTAGCTGCGCGGACGAGGCTGCCTCTTGAAAACCTTTCTTCACCATAGGTTGTCGGTTCTTAGAGCTGTATAGCTAATCTATTGCCACTTCAGTATATACTTCGTAGACTCTGTACTTATTTAATTCTATTACGCAGAGAAACACCGAGCATAACCCTCTCCATAAATCGCCGAGCAATCTTGAGTTTCCCCATGCGCCCAGCATAGAATGCATGTTTAAAAGTTAAAAGGATTTCCGGTCTTTACACTCACAATACGAAACACCTTCATTATGCTACTATTTTTTGCTGATTTATACAGAATATAAGCACGATCCTTCCCAAACAACCATAATTCGAGAAAATTTAATGAAAGAACTTTCTAGACCTATCGACAACTAGTCAGTCGGGACCGGTATGTACTCGAAAATACTAGATGTTTCTACAGTAGAAGATTCTGGAACTACCCGAGGCCCTATATAAGGCCGGTATAGACCGCGACCCGGGGAGTATTGAATTGGCAATACAAGCGAATACTTCGAAGCAATACAATTGAGATCAGACGATGTGACTAATGTGATCAGTAGTACATTAGTGTTCTGTAATTAAAGTGTCAATTTTGTTAATTCACTCGGCGGTTTTTAATTGTCTCGAACCCCAAGCTCGTAACAATATTATACCAGATACTCAACGTGCTATCAGTATTTACTGACCAACTCTTAGTCGAAACTTGTTGAAGCTGTGCTTGTTGATTTCCTCGAGAGCTTCCCGCAGCGCAAAAGCGTAGTCGACTAATGCACAGAGATGTTCACAATCGTCGTCGCCGGTCTGTAAAGTAAAGATCGAACTAAGGTTAGTTACTAGAAAGTGAAAGCGGGTTCATTTATATAATTATTAACTTAAATGTAACACCTTATAACTATACTACGTACTAAGAGTACATAGGAACATAAAGCTTAAAACCATGTGGCCTTCTCTAATGGCTGTTATTCATATTAATGAATGTTACAAAATGACGTAGCACCGAATCTAAGGAAAATTAGACTACGAAGATAAAGGTTGTCCCGTAACTATCCAGCGAAACATCAACTCTGAGATTTTCTATTTGTCCTTCTGCAATTTATTTGTATAAATGGATTTATTTGCATATTTGGACTTCGTAAATATGACCATGTAACAGAATACCGCATTAAGCTCAAGTGGCTTCCAACCCGTCTTCGTCGGAATACTCATATCCTTTCTGCTCTCTACTGCGTTTTATTTATATATCAAGTCCTCCCTACCTTAAAGAACGTTTCCAATTTCTCAGCTCCTCTCACAAACTTTCCCTTTGATCCTTAGAAAACCTTTCCTTCTATGTCCCTTGCACTCTTCTACATTTTACAGTAAATCTTTTTCAGTTTTTGGAGTTAAGCTTTGGAATTCCTTACCAATAGCGTCCATTTTTGAGACGTCCGCAGTAGTGAATTCTAGTTCTTTGTTTTACGGGTGGCGAAAAAAGGAACTAAAGTTATAAAGTTAGCCATACTGCATCAAGTTCAAATTCGGTTAAATGGTTAGAATGGTAAAGAATCTAGCGCCCTCGAGCAGAGAAATGGAGCTTGGTTGACTCCACGATTATTCGATGATTTATGAAAAATTGAATGTGGCATTTGGATATGTCATGTATGTTAACACAAGGGATTTTTTAAACAATTTATTAAAACAGAAAATAGGTTGTGGTTTTTAAGGTCACCTCAGATACATATTTCTTATATTAGTTTTTTAATGTACATTTTATCTGTATGTACTTTGCAAATCGTGTAACGTTGCGTTAGTTTTCAACCTAGAGCAAGATTGCTGCTACCTACAGTACCATTCGTAAATGAATTGTACTGTAGATACAGTAAATCCAACAAGTACCAGGAGCCCTTTAAAGAAATGAGTACCTATGTTATATATTTATTCAATTTTACACTTATGTCCATCCATCCATTTAGTTTTTATTGTTGCCTAGCTATAATTTGTTCAGCTAATTATTTCAGACTATCATCGTCAAAATTGTTAAGTTAGTTAAGTTACACAGCCTATTTCCGTCCCACTGCTGGGCCTTCCCTCACTTCTGAAAGAGTTTTAGGGCAAAGAAGTTTCCCGTCGCGCTGCCCCAATGCGTGTTGGCGAACTTCACATGTCTTCGAAATATTTTTTTCTTATTTCACAGACGTGCAGGTTTCCTCACAATGTCTTTCTTCACCGCCGAGCATGTGGTAGATGAGCACTTAAAATTGCAATTAACAATTTCATTATTGCTAGCGGGGATCGAACCCGGCTTACTAGCGTACTGTGAAATTTACAGCGAGAGCTAACCATCTGAGCTACCACGGCTCTTCTGAGCCACCACGGCTCTCATCGTTGAAATGACTACACCTCTTTATTATGTATGTTTTTTTTTCTGTAGGATAGGGTGACAAACGAGCACGCAGTCCACCTGTGGTGGTTGCTGCGGCCCATAGATATCTACATCTATCCTCGATTACAAATCAAAATGCAGATGCGTGTCAACCGTGAGGACTAAGATGGAACGCCTCGTTTCCAGTAAAAAGGCTCTCCGGTTCTCTACACTCACCATACGAAACACAGAAGCATTAAGCTATTATTTGACGCTGGTGTTCGGTGAGAGCGTGGTCCTTCCCCGGTCGAGCCGGCCTATTCGTGCTACAACTATACTACTAATATAACTGCAGCATGGCTCTACCACATATAAAAATGTTTTAATGAACTAGTACATAATGCACAAAAAAGTGCAGAATCAGACTTTAATTGGGATTTTAATAATGCATAAGAAGTGGGTTCTTTAAAAATATACAGAAATAATATTTTTTTTTATTTCAGGAAGAGATATATTTATTTTAAATTTTATTATTTCGTAGCTATTATTTGTGTTAAAGGAAATATGTTACCTTTTGGAGAAATAAAGTTGTTGGTTATTGGAAATGTAACATAACCGCTGCGCACCTCGCAACGCCTCTGTCACTCGACACATATTATGGTGCATTGGGTATTGTTTACAAAAAACGTTATTTATAACTCTACATCAGCTGGAGTGACCCTTGAGTGGTTTTATAGTTTTTAAAGGAATGAATGAATCTTTATTTCTGTACAAGTGCTGTTAAAGTTTGTTTGCTCAAATAAAGTAATTAAATTTAAATAAAAAATTTTCAATAAATATGGCACTTACGACTAAAATTTTTATATCGGCATTAAGAGTACTTATGAAATACTTTATGAGATTTCTAAAACTTAGCAAAATGAACCAGAACCCTATTGAAAGATGACTGAATCATTTAAAGAAAAAGAGAGAGTTCAAGACTGAATCATTATAATGAAATAAAAAAAAAAAAACTATTTTTACTGACTAAAGCATTTACATTCAACATCGGTGTAAGTTGATTGTGGGTTCTTGTAAGCTTATTATTAATGCGTTTTATGATAAAAAATTGTATTGTAGCCTATGATTTTGCACATAAAATATTGCAAACAATAGATGTAAGATTAAAATAAAATAAAATTGAACTATTAAAAAACTTTGTGTCATTGAGTAATATGATAGTTTTGACTATTCAATATTTAGTAATTTAACTTTTTTATTAAATATATGTACTCGTTTATAGTAAATTTCATAGAGAATTCAGAAATGTATACATATTATAGTATTCGATATACCAAAATCAAGATATTTGCGTTTAAACGGAGTGGGCGCAATCAGCCGTTTATTTTATTAAACAGCTCCGCAGTCAACGGAGTATTACGGTTAGAGTCTCCGCAGCTGAAAGGTTATCAGTGGTTCATGAGTTACTAGCTGTTACCCGCGGCTTCGCCCGCATGGTCTCTGGGAAATGAACTATCCATTGCTTTTTGAATTGAAAGAAAACTGAGTTTTATAGATTTGTCAGAGATGCAGCCATTAAAAGGAAACTGAGGAAAATTGATTTGTCAGCCTATTTAAATGTTTTGAAACGCAGCGTATAGGAAAGCATGAAAATAGCCCGTTTATTCCAAATGGAAATGGGATATTTTTTTTAATTAAAGGAAACTGAGCATAATTATCCGTCAGGGATGCAGACTTTTGAAAAGAAACTGAGCTAAATTGATTCGTCAGAGATGCAGTTTTCTGAATTGAAAGGAAACTGAGCCAAATAAAAGATCCGTCAGAGATGCAGTCTTTTGAGTTGAAAGGAAACTGAGCTTAATAGGTCCGTCAGAGGTGCAGCATTTGGAATTGAAAAGAAAATGAGCTAAATAGGAAATTTTGAATTGAAAGGGAAGATCTGTAGGAATTCTGATTAATTGATTGTGGGAATTTTGGAAAAAAAAACTAACTGAACACTATTTTAAGACGCTACTGTACACAATGTTATATGTTTTTCCATTCGGGGAAAGAATGTGGAGATTCTGGGCATTTGACACACGCAAACATGCTACATACAGCTGCCATGAGAGAAGCACGGTTTTTCTAAGTTGACCCCCGCTACCTGTAACGTTTGCCCTTGCGCTTTAATTGTCATTGCAAAACTGAGCTTAATAATAATATAATAATAGGGAACTGCAACCTTTTGAATTGAAAAGGAAAGATCTGTGGGAATTATAGGGATCCGTGGTATAATAACATTTTCACCTTTTCCTACGCCTGTCAAAATTGTAGCACCGATTATGTTCCGTCCAAGATGTGTCACACGCAGCGTTGTCCCGTTACATAACCGAGGAGCATCTAAATTTCGCATTAGCATGACTGGGACGCCTAATTTTAATTAAAGCTTATGTGAGGGCACACCTGACAACCCAACCGATATGAAGTGCTCTGTTCTTGTCCATAACTGTGTCTACTACAAATACTCTGTTATTTCTCCTGCTACTTCGCTTAATATATATGAATTTATTTTGTAAACGCTCTCATTTTTAGTGCATTATCTCCAGCATTCCATCATTTCATTTCCAGCATTGATATCATTACACAAATGCACTCTCATATTCGTAGTTAAACTGAATTTTGTCACCTTGTTCCATAAAATAGACGACTTGAGGTATGCTTTAATTTCATCTGCAGGTGTGCCCTTTTGAATGACAGGTAAAGTTTGGCGAAAGTCACCAGCCAGTAAAACCACCATTCCTCCCATTACATCGGTATTGCTGCGCAAATCCTGGAGCGTTCGATTTAATGCCTCTTCAGCTTTTTTATGCGACATTGTACTTTCGTCCACACTGAAAGTTTGTATTTTCGTAGCATTATACCTCGTGCACTATTTTTGCTAAAGTTGCAGATCGGCGATTCTTCCTGGGCTAGATTTAGAGAGAGTTTTAGAACAGAATGTGCAGTGCGGCCCCCGCTTAGCAGCGTGGCGGCTATACCGGAGGAAGCTACGGCCATAGCAAGGTTTTTATCTTTCCGTACTTGCGCTAATAATAAATTTAGCAAAAATGTCTTCCCAGTTCCTCCAGGGGCATCTAAAAAGAAAAGTGCACCATTTCCAGATTCAATTTGTCCTAATACTTTGTCAAAAACTCGTTTTTGTTCGGGAAGCAAGCGGGGTACAAATTCGGCTACTTGCTGCTGCAAAGCTGGTATATCGTAGTTTTATTCACGTATAATTTCATCACTTATTTCATTTTTGGTTGTTCGCTGAGGGCTTATCATTCCAAAGTCGCTTAATTTTTTTGCCTACCATTGCCATTACTTTATCTTCTATTTTTCCAAGTGCTTCATTATAAATGTGTTCATTTATGTGTTCGCGTGTGTCTGCTGTAACCTTCGCAAAATATCTTCCGCCATGTACTCTTTATATTTGTCCTAC